CACAATAAATTATTTATATTTTTAAAAGTTATCTTATGTTGTTTATATTTTTCAATTAATCTAATCGCTTGTTATGTTAGTTTTTAAAGTCCAAAATAAACTGTTATTTGAAAAATCAGGAAATAAAAATAAAAAAATGTCTATTAAAAAACTATATAATAGTTTCACATTTTTTAAATATTTTCTAGCAAAAAAACTATTAATTTTAATAACCAACCTTATCATTACAATTATTATAAGAAAAATACTTTGTTGTAAAAAATATTATGTCAAACAAATAACAACTTTTTTATATTTAAAATTATATTTTTATTACAGTCAAATACGTCTATTTGTTGTAAATGAGTGAATTTTGTAGAAAATTCTATTTAATAATGAAATTTATTTTTTATAAAAAATTTAGTTTTTAATTCAACAAAAGTTACAGATTCGAGAACAAAATATTTAATTGTTGTTCACCAAAATGATTGGCCAGTTGTGCGGCAATTAAGCAACTTCGACAATTATAATTACGACAAATAGACGCCTTTGACTGTATTAAAAAATAAAGATTTAAAATCATAATTATATTTTTAGATTCAACATTCCAAGTTATTTATACGCCCAATTTGTGTTGATTAAGAAGTAAAATGACAAACAAAAAAAGAATATTTTGATGGTTTTTATTTATTTTTAAATAAATTGGTTGTTATTTCTTTGTTGTTTGATTTTCAATAATACATATTTTTAATTTATTTTAATTCCATTTAACCATTGAAATTTATTTAATTTGCCTGTTCTTGAGAGAACACACTCTTCAAATATACATCTCTTGAAATCTTTCGCTGTAACTTGCAGACTAATTTCAATAACTTTTAAAAAGCAATAATAAATAAAACATATGAATGTTAATGACTTAAAGTGCTCAACGACACTAAATACAAAGGTTTAAAAAACTTACAAAAAATAATTCTTTTTTTGTCAATTAATTATAAATATAAAATAAATTATTCAACCTTTACTTAACCGGCCAATAGAGTCAGTCTATTAACGTTATCTGGTCCTTAAACCTTATCTGTTTAATTATTTTTCTTGTTTATTTTCGAACATTCGTTAAAGTATTTTTAAATAAGACAAAAATAATAAAAGCATACACATTTTTGCAAGAAACAAACAATAAAAGTATAAAAATTTGGAAATAACCCCAATATTCAATAAAAATAATTTATTATTACAAATGTTTATTTTTTTGTTAAAGCTGTTTTCCCCAATTTTTAAATAAATATTCTTTATTATCTTTCTGTTTTTAAAATTATAAAAACACTTCAATTTTATTAATATTTTTAAAGCAAAAATACACTTTTTATTTTTTAAAAATTAACCAAAACTTTTAATTAACAATGTTGCCGCCTCACGCCTTTTCCACTCGCACAGAATTTAACATGAGGCAGATCAACTTCAATCACATTATGAAGGAAGTTAATGTAGATTTAAAAGCAAAATCTCTTATCAAACTTGTGTTTGATTTGGAAACTGTTAATGGTTATATTTCAGCCAGTCTTAACCAAGCCATTCACAATTACAACAACATTATAAACTACACAATTACCGATTTTGACAAAGCGATAATGGCATTCCAAAATGACATAGACTCTATCAACAGTATTTCGGAAGTTATATCTACTATTATCAATACAACAAACAATATTAAAAACGTGACCGAGCACACCATCAACTGCCTTCAATTTGTTCGCCAATACACAGTTCCGCGCGCTGGATTCATTCAATTGGCCAACTATCTGAGACACGATGGTATACCAGAACCTGGAAATATCACAATAAATAATCTGACTATGGAAACAAATAGTGATAACAATTCATCAATTGAAGAAATAACAATTGTAAATAACAATGATGTCATTGAAGCTCTTGGCTTGGAAACTAACGACTGTTCGCAAATTGAACTAGAAAGACAAATGGAAGAAGAGGGGGGAGAATCTTCTGAAACCATGGAAGAGTTGGACAATAACTATAATCGAGACTCTCAAATAGAAATGCCACTTGACGAAATAGAGTTTAGTTGTGACGGGCTTTGGGATTACCTACAAACGAAAAATCGAGAGAAAGACTTCACGATGGTTATCGACGCATTACTGAGATTCTTAAAACTCAACAGGAACATCAAATCACCAAACAGAAGAATACAAATGTACAGATTGTCTGAATATATGAACTCAAAATGCAATCTTAATTCTGGAGATTTTTTGGCAAGTCTCACACCAAATTTAAGCGCCGACATTTGGAGACAACAATTAAGATTTGCAAAACAAACACGTGGGTTATCGGGTAGAATAGCAATTTTCAGTGAAATTGAAAAAACACAAATCGTGTCTTATATCAAACAAAGAGAATCCGAAAAGAATCCACCAACATTTAGTGATATGATGTTCTTTTTGGCGACAGAAATGGAACGGACTTCGGTAAACATTCGAACATTGTATAACTTTGTTGAGCACGATGACAGAATAAAGACAGCAAAAGGTGTACCAATGGAGAAAGAACGCGTCGATGTCGATGTAGAGTTAATCAAAATATACTTTGATATGTTAGAAAAAGAGGCGAGTAGTGTACCAGTCTCTTTCATATTCAACTGTGACGAGTCTGGGTTTCAAGAGTGGGCAGATAAAATGGACCAAAAAGTTATTGTCTCTTCTTCTTCTGCCAATAAAGTGGATATACCAATAACAAGAGGATCTGGACGAATGACAATGTTAGGGACAATTTGTATGGATGGAACTGTATTTCCTCCATTTTTTATCATACCAACCATATCAATAGAAAAGGAGCTAATCGAGAACGGAATAACTCCGAACAAAGCGGTACTTAAACACTCCGAAAAGTTTTTTATGAACAACTACTTGTTTGAGTTGTGGTTAAAAGAAGTTTTTATACCCAATTTAGACAACAAAAGAAAACTGTTGAAGTATAAAGGTGTGTCTATATTAATTATAGATGGATATGGTTCACACATAGGTATCAAATCAGTCAAATTACTCTCGGAAAATAATGTTAAAATAATTTTAATGCCTGGTCATTCATCACATTGTCTTCAAATGTTGGATGTATCTATTTTTGGAAATCAAAAACGTGTATGTGTGACTGAAAAGTGTTTCATGAATGATGCATTTGAAAATTTGTCTTATTCAGCAATACAAATATTATCAATCGTTAATTCATGGGAAAAGGTAACAACAACAAAAAATGTTATTTCATCCTTTGTTGCATGTGGATTGGTTCCTCGACTTTTGGATAATTATACGGTAGTTTGCGAAGTAGTGCCTCAATCTTGTTCTCGTTTAGATTGTTTCTTTAATTGTGACGAAATTGAAGAAATGAAAACAAAAATGGGTATAAATGATTTGACAATAAACAATTCAAAGAAAAAAGTGTTGAAAAATTTACGTGTAAAGTATCGCAAGTTGGACAATTCTAAACTTGAATTGAACCATGGTTTCTCTCTTTATAAAAGTCAAAGGATAAAATTGAGTAAACTTGGATGGTGAAAATATTGATAAATGAAGTCGGTTATACATTTTTAATATTTTTGTATAAAAAATATAAATTGTATTAAATAATATAGTAAAAAACAAACAAATAAAAAAATAAACAGTACCATAAAAATACAATAAATTATAATAAATAGGTTAATGATTGTAATATTTAAAACCTACAAACTTTAAACACCAAAGAAAGATTCCGAGCATTGTACAAAAGTATGCGTTTATAATATTACTCAATCAACCACAACAACCAATAGACAAAACATCATCAGTATTATTGGTTTGCTTGTTTATTCGATCCATAAGCCAACTTACTTACAAAAAGCATTTTCTATGTTTACACAATTTACGATATTGATGATTGAAAATATTATTTAATCAATAACAAAGAAGTCGAGACAGTTAAAAATGGTTTAGATTGTGGTTTTGGAAGCATTTGTTGACAGCAAAAAGTGGACTTTTCTGGTCCTCGTCTACTTCATTGTGTTATTCTTTTAGGTGCGTCATTTTGGTACTTGTTCAGATGATTCTTTATTTTTGACAAAAAGTATCATCTTGAAAATAAATGAATTTATTGTTTTAAGTTTTATTTAAAATTAAATAAAAAATTTAAAATATCAAAAATATTTTTATCATTTTTGACGTAATTAATTTGAGTCCGTGGAAATAATAAGAAGAATAATAGAATATTCGTGACCAGATAACGTTTAAGGACCAGATAACGTTGATAGATTGACTCTAGTATTTTTTTTCTTTGGCAAAATGCACGAGACGCAAAAAATTGCGTTTTTTTTTCTATAAATATAAAAATGAGAAAAAATTCTAAAAATAATTTACATATAAATTTGCTTTTGTATGAAGAAGCATCTTTCAGCAGTTTTCACATTTCAACAAGAGATCAGACACTAGGTTTTTACAATTATTCTAATGCGATTTTAGCTTTAGGTCTGAAACATAATCGACCAATTTTTTTCCCAGACACTAGTAATGAGTAGAAAAATCTTTATCATAACTGTGACAACATCGGAGCAGCAAGACAAACTTATTACAATTAAATTTTTCGTTGATTTGTGCGGCAGAATGGGTTTACAAAAGAATTGTTAGTTATTTTATTTAAAAAAAATCTAAAAATAATTTTTACACATTTTATCTAAACAAAAACAATTACTAAAATTTCAATTTTATTTTTTTAAACGCGTTTTTTTGCGTCTCGTTTATTTTAATCGGTTAAGATGTTATATCTTAAAAAAATCTTTTAAGTTATAACATTTTTGATCCAAATCATTTAATCTCATTTTGTCCACGTTTTTTTTTATGAATAGGAATTGCCACGTAATTTGGTCCAAATATGTCACTTATCTTTAATTATAAATGGTATTAACAACAGTTTGTTTGTATTGGAATAACAAATTATATGTTTATTTGGATTTGATTATATAGATACAACATAAAACAATTACATCACAAGTTATCTAGCTGTTTTATAACCTCTTTGATATCAAGTCTCTTGATCGGATTGTGAACCCAGCATTTATCCACAATTGAAAATATTTTATCATCCATGTCATCTTTCTTTTCTGGTCGTTTACCATTATTTACATACTCTGCTATTTTCCATGGAAACGCGAAAAGGCCTTTCGGATACGCGTCACACCACCCAATACCCTCAAACATCGTTATTCCAAACGAGTATATGTCTGCTGGCTTTTTATATTTCTCTTGACTCAAGATTTCAGGCGCCATATAGACTGGAGTTCCAATACCTTTTGTGAAAGTCATGTTAGTCATCAACAGATTCACATTTCTCGCACTTCCAAAGTCAGTCAGTTTTGCTATAACTTTGTCATCAACATTTAGTGATATAACCAAAATGTTGTCTGGTTTGATGTCTCTGTGTAATATCCCATTTTCATGCAAATACAAAATACCTTTTGCTGCATCTATCATCATTTTAACACGCAACTTTATGTCAATATCTTCACTCTTTTTGTGTTTAATTAAGTCTTGTAAAGAACCATATTGTGCAAATTCGGTGACCATACACACTTTGTTGGGAATGAAAACAGCGCCATAGAAATGGACGATGTAATCACTTCTAAATTTGTCTAACATATTTACCTCTTTTTCAAATTCTTCAATAATTTCATCAGACAAATCAACGCTTTTGATTTTCTTAATTGCAACTGTATTATTTCTATAAGTACCTTTATACACAACACCAAAAGATCCTTCGCCAAGTTTATTATCGAAAACAATTTCATTGGGGTCGAGTTTAGTTGTGATTGTAGTCACTCCTTTCATCACAAGTTCATTCAAAATTTCTTCTCCTGTTTCGATGTTTTTTGAGACTAAAACAATGTTGTCCTCGATTTTGCAAGTGTAATTTGGAGTTATAAAAAATTCAAACTCGCACGCACAATTTTTGTGTAACGTCGCTATACTCGGCTTAACTGTTATATTGAACTTCTCAACAAACGTTTTGGCGACAAATTGAATTTTCACAGTTTGATTGTTAGTGTTACCAACACAAATTAATTTGCGTGTTTCTTCACTCACTGGAATTTCGTCGTCTTCGTTGTTAAAATCGATTTCTGGTTGATCAACACATACTCCGCCTTTCAATTCATTGAATTTCAAATTCGAATTTTGCATTTTGAATATCGTCATTTTGCTCTCAATTTCGCTTTTTCGAAGTTTTTTGTGAATAACAACAAAGAGTATTACAACACATATAAATATGATAATCACAAGTACAATGACAAAAATTACAATAATGAAAATGACCCACCAAACCGCTTTAGAAACACAGAATGTGCCACTTTGACTTGGCGCTTTCCAGAATTCACATTTTGAACACTTTGAATTGTGGGCCTCAAGACAGTACTTTAAGAGTGTATAATGACTGCAATTCTTTTCTGAAAGCACGTAATTGTCAACACATATTTCACATGCATTTTTGGACTCACATTTTACACATAAATCACTACACTTTTCACATTGATTTGACTTGATTTGGAAATACCCATCTTGACATGTAGAACACCCCTTTTCTGTGATTTCAACATCACATCCAACGATCGAATCCTTTGAAACGCATTTGTTCTCATTTGTCATGAAATTGCTCGAATTACACGAAAGACATTTACCAGCCGAATTACACGTTGAACACTCTGTTGGGCATTTATTACATACAAAATTGATTAAATAAAAACCATCATCACATTGTAAACACTTTAAACTGTCATATGAAAATTTAAGACAAGTCGCAAGTAAATCATCTTGAGATACACAAGAATAGTTGTTAAGATAATATTCAGAGGAACACGACTGACAAAAATTGGGGGATGAAATACATGTAGAACATGTCGAATTGCACTTTTCACACGAATTTTCAGCGGTGTCAAAATACTTTCCAGAAACACAACGAAGGCAACCAAAAGAATTTTGGATTTCACAATTACTATCATCAAGTGTTTTGCATTCTTTTTGTGAATTTAAAATTGTTTTTGATTCACATTCAACACATTTGGTATTCACTTTATATACACAATTTTGTGTTGGCTTTTCACATTTCCCATTCGCATCTTTAATTGTATTTTCGGCAACTTCACAGGAAGAAGTGTCACAAGCCCCCAAATCAGACATTTCAAATTTTAATGAGCAACGCGTCGCATATTTAAAATTACAAGAAACACTGTTTGGATGTTTGTCTGTACATTTTTGACAAATTTCACCATTTTCTGTGTAATACCCATTTTCACATGCATTGATGGAATTATGTGAAAATAAAATCACATTGTTTCCAATTGAAACACACTTTCCATTAGAAAGTTTGGTATTGGAATTTCTATCGCAGAATAGACAACTTTCTTCGGTCTCTCTGATCGAACAGTGGTCTTGTGAAGTCACGCACTTCCCGTTATAATATGTATAACCCAATTTACATATTACACAAAAATCTCGCATTGTAAGTTGACAATTTTCGATTAAAATACATTCGCCGTTAACACCATAATATCCACTTGAACACTTCATACAATCGCCATTGTAAACTGTGCAGATTTCACAATTGGATTTGGTGCAACTTTCACATTGTCTTGTGATTTTATTTAACCCTCCTTTCGTGCATTCTATCTTTGTTAAACACTGAAATGATGTGGAGTTGTAATATCCAAGATTACAAGAAGTTGTGTCAAAGACATAATCAGCATTTTGTGATATTAGTAATACACTCTTTGTCAATTTAAAAAAGCTCACCGCAACAAATTCATCAGAAATTATATTGATCACAATATCAGTGAATGAATAGAGAGATATTTTATTACTTCCAATTGTCACTATATTCTCCTCTTCTGTTTCTTTTTTGTTCAAAACCTTCAAATTATTTACTTGTCTATTCACATTTTTAACACTGTCAATTTTTAAATTTAGAACAGCATTATTTCCACTTGGAACAATAAAACACAACTCCTCATAACACGGACAAAAAGGTTCCAAAAAATTTCCACTTTCGATATTTTCTCCTTTCAGATGGCAGAAGAACTTATTTGAACTTCCAAATCTCATTAAACGATTTTCAAAGTATGTAGTAAAAGAAGTTGAAATAGTACTCACAAATGGAATGTTAGTCACTGCCAAATCAAAAGGTTCCGTTTGATCGAAGATATTTGAGTTATCTGAAATGTCATTTGTAAAGAAAAGAGGCGGGTCTCGAATGGTTCTACCGTTTAATTTAATTTGTGAAGTAGATGTTAACACGACACTCTTCGCTGTAATGTACGAGTTTTTATCTATATCCAATACTGTATAGTCCAGTTTGAATTGATTAATAATAAATTTTTCTTGGATATTTTCACTTTTTATTGTGAAAGTACCGCCAGTGGATGAAAAATTGCCACTGCTCTGTACTCTTGCATTATCTAAAATATTAAATTGAGACGAATCACCACCCAATGATAATAAATTGAAAATGTTTTTGATAATTGAGTTATTTCTCATTGTAAATACGCCACCTTCAGAAATTGGTATAAAGAAACATTTTTCTATAACAGAGTTATCGAACATGTTAAACGTACCACTTGTTACGTATATATGGTCATCAGCAAAGACTCTGGAATTGTTGTACATGTTCATCACACAATCCAAATTTAACCTTATATAACCAGTGTCTTTAATAAATAAAGTGGAAGTATCAAACATATTTAAATAAGCAATATTCGAGGTTTGTATGTATGAAATTGTGTTCATTGTTGCATTATTTATAAAATTTAACACGCCACCTTTTATCACAATACCTTTTGTCGTTGAACATGTCGTTTCAAAATTAATAATCGAACTAACTGTAGACATAGAGCATTCTTCGGCTTT